ACACACACCGGCACGCACCGCCGCTAAAAAGCGTGTTGGACTCTCACTGTCGCCATTTTGGCATTTCGGCTCGGAGCGTTGACAGAGTCTTAGCCGAGCGAGCGCTCCATACGCGTCGCCACGCTGCTCACACGAATCGCTTCGGGTGCACTTCATCGCTTGCCGTCGAGCAAAAGACGGAATGTCGGGAGCCGGTGGGGTGCCGAAGCCAGCCTCTGCGACGGCTCGAGGCTGCATCCGTTCGAAAATTCCTGCCTTTGCGTGCGAGCTGCTTGGCAATCGCGCGGGTCTACACGCGCACGCGCGCGCGCGCKATACGCCGGAATCCATTCGCCCGAGCAGAGAGAGAACGCTTTCAAACAGATCGCCATCGTGCATGCTGCATACGTACGTGCTGTCCACGGACATGGCCCTTGTCTCTGTAGCACCTGCCGATTCGACTCACGACCAACTTTGCCTCGTGTTTGCCAAATGCCGAACGATGGCCAGCTCGGGCGTCGGGAGTCGGAATCAAAGCGTGCTGCGAAGACTGGCTTTGTCATGCTGACACGACACATATTCTCTTCAAAGGCTAAACAAAGTGACGGCATAACATTGGTAAGGATCTGCAAAAACGCGCCGACCGTGGAAGATCGAAGAAGGGGGCGCGCGCGCTTTGTTGCTCTGGCTCAGCTGGGAGGAGGGCCACTCAATTTTGCGCAGCAGAGGGCAGGCGGGCGGGCGCTGCCTCTCTGTCACTTTGGCTGAGAGAGGGTGTTGCACTGACACAGACGGACGCGAGAGCGAGGGTGTGGCGGCCATTTCGTGCACTTTTTGAGAAGAATGCGCGCAGGTCGAAAGCGAAAGCGCACCGCCCGCTCGCAGCGCAGTGGTGAGGGCAAGCGACGTGGACTTTGAGATAGAGGTGTCGGCATTCTCACTCGCAACGCCCAACTATTCTCTCCTCGTTCGCCGGTTTGGATAGCAGCAACATCATGGCGGAACCACAGATCGCATATGCGCAGGACGAGTACGGCCGACCGTTCATCGTGGTGCGCGAGCAGGGCAAGAAGACGCGCGCCAACGGCATCCAGGCGATCAAGAACCACATTGCGGCGGCCAAGACGGTGGCCAACATCCTCAAGACGTCGCTCGGCCCGCGCGGCCTCGACAAGATCCTCATCAGCCCCGACGGCGACATCCAGGTCACCAACGATGGCGCCACCATCATGAACAACATGGAGCTCGACCACCAGGTCGCCAAGCTGCTCGTCGAGCTCAGCAAGAGCCAGGACGACGAGATCGGCGACGGCACCACCGGCGTCGTCGTGCTCGCAGGCGCCCTCCTCGAGCAGTCCGAGGCGCTCCTCGACCGCGGCATCCACCCCATCCGCATCGCCGACGGCTTTGAGCGCGCATGCAACCTCGCCGTCCAGGAACTCGAAAAGGTCGCCGACACCGTCGACTTTGACCGCGACAACATCACCGAGCTCATGAAGGTCGCCAAGACCTGCCTCGGCAGCAAGATCGTCAGCAAGGCCTCGGACAAGTTTGCCAAGATCGCCGTCGACTCGGTGCTCTCGGTGGCCGACCTGCAGCGTCGCGACGTCGACTTTGAGCTCATCAAGGTAGACGGCAAGGTGGGCGGCGGACTCGAGGACACGCAGCTGGTGCAAGGCGTGGTGATCGACAAGGACATGTCGCATCCGCAGATGCCGCGCGTCGTCAAGGACGCCAAGATCGCCATCCTCACGTGTCCCTTTGAACCGCCGCGTCCCAAGACCAAGCACAAGCTCGACATAACCTCGGTCGAGGAGTACCGCAAGCTGCAGGACTACGAGCGCACCAAGTTCGAGGAGATGATCAAGCGCGTCAAGGACTGCGGCGCCAACCTGGTGGTGTGCCAGTGGGGATTCGACGACGAGGCGAACCATCTGCTGCTGCAGCACGAGCTGCCGGCGGTGCGCTGGGTGGGTGGACCGGAGCTCGAGCTGATTGCGATTGCCACCAACGGCCGCATCGTGCCGCGCTTCGAGGATCTGTCGCCCGAGAAGCTCGGTCGGGCAGGTGTGGTGCGCGAGGTGGGATTCGGCACGACCCGCGACCGCATGCTCATCATCGAGGAATGCGCCAACACGCGCGCCGTCACGGTATTCGTCCGCGGTTCGAACAAGATGATCATCGACGAGGCGAAGCGCGCCTTGCACGATGCCATCTGTGTGGTGCGCAACCTTGTCGTGGACAACCGCGTGGTGTACGGTGGCGGTGCGGCGGAGATCTGTGCGAGCGTGGCGATTTCCAAGGCGGCCGACGAGATTGCGTCGCTGGAGCAGTACGCCATGCGTGCGTTTGCCTCGGCGCTCGACGCGATCCCGCTGGCGCTGGCGGAGAACTCGGGCTACTCGCCCATCGAGACGCTCGCCGAGGTCAAGAGCAGACAGGTCACCGAGCAAAACCCCAAGCTCGGCATCGACTGCATGGGCGCCGGCGACAACGACATGAAGAACTGCCGCGTGTTCGATCCGCTCGTCTCCAAGCGCCAGCAGCTCCTCCTCGCCACGCAGCTCGTCCGCGCCGTGCTCAAGATCGACGACGTCATCGAACAGCACAACATCGAGTAGACCTTTCCTCAATCACACGCAAAAAGTATTCATACGCAGCAGTGATGTGGGCAGAGTGAGATTCAGCTGGGCGCGTGCAGAGAGGATGTCCAGAGCTGCAGCCGGTACAGCGCCACACCGAGTGGGACCGTTACTGGCGATCTGCGGACCGCGTATGTGTGTGAATCTGGCGTGTGTGCCATGTTGCGCAGCAAGTCTTGGAATCTTGCTTGCTGCGATTCGTCCGTGAATTCGGGGATGAAGACTGGATGTGCTGCGTCTTTTGGCTGCTGGGAGATTTCGAACGCTGTCTCGTCCGCCTCTTGAGTCGTCAAGATTCCGTTCCGCCTACGCCCGAACTGCTTCTGCAGCAGCTCCATCTCCTGGCACACCCGTTCCTGCAGCTGTTTGCCCACCAGCTCGCCCGTGCTTGGCAACATGACCGCCGCATTGCTCACCATCTTGTACACGCCTCTCTTGCGCGCATGCTCAACTATCCCTGCATCGAGGCAGATCCAACCCCCCTTTCCCCTCCTTACCGCCTGAAGCTTCGGATGCAACACCTGGTCGGGCATCATGACCTCTGTGTTGTTGGTCTTGCCGCTTTCGGGCTTGGGCGGGACGCGCAGCGGTTTGAGCTGCACCAACAGCGCGGTGGGGAGAACCTTGGTGGTGACGATGCACTTGCGCAGGGGGGTGGCGAGCATGGCTAGGTGCAGAGAGCTGTTCCAGCGTCGCTCGAGTGCTGCCAGGTGCGTGCGCGCCGCAGCGGGGAGTGGCAGCGCCATCGTCAGGTCGTGAGCGAGCTGAAGAGATGGTGTTGAAGAAGAACGGACAATGGACCCTGTCGGCGGAACCAAATCACCCGATCAAGACCTCCACACCCGATGGAGGCTCTCCGACTTCCGAATCTCAAAATTTCCCGCAGCTGCCAAAGAGTGGCGAAGGGCTTTCCACCGCCTTCAACGACCTTCCTCCTCTGATTCTACTTGAACCCCCTCCTCCCCCAACACCTTCCTCTTCCAACACCCACCTCATCACCCCCTCGACTCGAACGAGAATGTCCAACGACAAGAACGCACAGGAGCTTCTCAAATGGGGACTGGCCAACAGCACCACCGCTGCCGGTCCGTCGGTCGAGCAAATCTCGGCGGACATCGAGTCGGGACGTCGCCCCGACCTGGCAGACCCGCATCTGTACGAAGCGATCATGGGCAAGAGCGAGGCCCAGATGATGGCCGAGCAGCTCTCTGTTGCCGTTGACGAATCGCGCTCCGTAGAGGACCGGTGTACGGCGCTGGACAACTTCGAGATGCTCATCGAGACCATCGACAATGCGAACAACATGACGAGCATGAACATGTGGCCGAGCATCGTTGGGCTCATGGCCTCGTCGCAACCGGAAATTCAGACTGCCGCGGCGTGGATTTTGGGTACGGCGGTGCAGAATAACGACAAGGCTCAGATGGCTGTGCTGCCACACGAACCCGTACGCGCCGTGGTGGATCTGTTCCAGAGTGGCGATGAAAAGGTCAGGGCCAAGGCGATGTACGCCTTGTCCGGGCTGATCAAGCACAATCCAGCTGCCATGGACCAGTTCGACAAGCTCGATGGGTGGAAAGTCCTCCGCTCCGCACTCGTCGATCCGATTATCGGGATTCGAAGAAAAGCGGCTTTCCTCCTCAACACCTTGCTCTTCCAAGATCCCAATTCCCTCACCACCCCTCCCCCTTCCGCTGCGGTGGCAAGTACCGCTACCGCCGTTGCACCCGCAGCATCTTCTGCTGGTCCGGTACCACTCGACCTTGGACCAGAGACAATGCGCACCTCGGTTCCGCACCCCAACGTAGCACGTGCCCTCGTCGAGTCCGGAACCCTCTCCACCCTCCTCTCCTCCCTCCTACCCCCCGGCACCCACGGCATAGACGACGCCGACCTCCCTCCCCCCTCCGGCGCAGATGGAGATCAGGATCCCCGTTCCGATCTCGACTTTGCCGAAAAAGCCGCCGCCGCCATCCTCGCCTTCGCCGCAAAACTACCCCCCATCCCAAGCGATGCCCTCCTCGACCAAAAGACAAAGTCCCTCTTCAAAGCCCTGCTCAAGGAGCTGCAGGGTCCTCCCTTCGATAGCACCACAGACGCAAAGTCGCGCGCCGACGAGCTCGCACTCGACCCTGAACAGCTCCACACCCTCACCACCACGATCAACGCCCTCTGAACAATGATCGCAATCCCATAGACTTGTCGCCAAACCAACTCCCACGATCGAATCTGCATTGCTGTGACTGTGCTGCAATGCTGTGATTGTGCTGCAATGCTGTGACTGCGGTGCAATGCTGTGTTTGTGCTGAGATCAAGGTCGGCGCTCGCTCAGAAATCGAAGCTCCACGGCGGATACAGCGCATTGGGCTCGATCGACGTCGAGCCGGCCGTGGCGCTGCCAAAGGGGAGCGCGGGCAAGCTGACGCCGTCAAACGCATCCGCACGGCACAGCGGACACGTCTTGGCCGTCTTGAACCACGTCTTGATGCAGTGCGCGTGGAAGGCGTGGTGGCACGTGTTGATGCTCATCAGCACGTCCGCGTCCGCGTAGTCGTCGCGACAAATCGGACACATGGTGTCCCTGCCTTCGGGAGGCGGCGCCACCTTTTGCTTGCCCTTGCCCTTACCCTTGGCACACACGGCGTCGTCGCTGCGTGGCGCACACGAGCCGCCGTCCCACTTTGCATACTCGCATGTGGGCAGCGTGTCGACGAGGCTGGCGGGCACGCACACCTCGGCGGCGCCCAGCCGCTCGCTGAGCTGCATGAGCGCCTCGTACGAGTTGAGCTCCGCCCAGTCCTCATCGGCGATAAAGTTGCGCGCGTCCAGCGCGAGGTGCGAGCCGTGCTGGCCAAACACCATCGAGGACGACGCTGCCGACAGTCCGAGCTGCAGCGGACGCAGGTGTGTATGCCAATCCTCGGACTCGATCGCCATGCGTAGCGACGCAGCGTGCACTTCGCCCGCCATCCACTCGTCGAGCATGCTGTCGTGGCTCATGAGGCGGCCGAGGTACTCGAGTGCCGACTCGTTGGCGTTTCTGACATGCCGCGTCCAGGCTGGAGGCGCGCCTCGCGATGCGGGCAGTGGCGCCGTCGGCCGCGAGTCGGAGCCGGTGCCTTGAAACAAGGACTCGTAGCGCAATGGCGCGCCTCCCTGGCGATCCGAGGCGTGCGAAGGCGTGCGCAGTCCAAAGTGCGTGCTTCTCCAAGGCAGGGGCTCACGTCCCGAAGACGCTGGTTCACGCAGCCTGTGCAGGGAGTCGGATGTTTCGCGTCGTTGACTCGCGTCTCGAGTTTGCTGTGGAGCGCCGTACATGCTGCTTGTGGCGGCTTCCGAGCGACTGTGATGAGGATGCAGATTGCGCCGATGCAATGCTGAAAGGCCCCGGTCGTCGTGAATTTCTCGTCCGGAGGCTTCGTGTTCAATGGCGCTGTATCGAGCATGGCCACGTGGACGATCGTCGTGCGATTGATAGGGAGTGTATCTTTCAGAGATTGGAGGTACTCGGAGAGACGATGGTTGCGACGGATAGCGATGTGCGCTTGTAAAGAGACTGGAAGGTTCACTGGGTGTATCTGCATGAGCTGACACTCGGGACTGGGCACGGTTGAAGATGGCGTTGGATGTGGGAGTGTTGGAGATATGGTGGTCGTCATCCTGGCGGCCAGGAGCGAGTTGAGTCGATGCCCTGCGACGAGGTGTGATTGTGGTGAGATGGCGGAGGGGGGATGGAGCAGGAGCCTCGTGATCTGCGTCGGAGGCGAAAGAGATGGCAAGCGGGGATGCGGCGCGCACGTGAGGCAGCTGCGGAGGATGGCGATGCGCGTGATCGTTGGGCTCCTCGACGAGAGGCAGTGGACGATGGTGGGCAAAGGCTCGCTGAGATGCCGCAAGGTCGTTTTGCCAGCTGTAGGGAGAAAGAGCCGACAGCTGAGCTTGCCCTTCATGTCTAGGCATGCTGGAAGAGCCGAGAAGCGAGTCGCGACGAGCGGCGAGCGGATCGAACTGGTGCGTCGGCGTATCTGGGTTTGCGGAAGAGGGTTCGCGCGAGTAGAAGCCTCGCCGACGACGCAAGGTGCCGAGGGAGCGCTGTGCTCTTGACTCTGCGAAGTGGGCAGATCGCAGCTCCAGCTGGTCACGCCGAGAGGGATAGAATGACGAAAAGTCGTCGATGGGCTCTGGGGACTCGCACAGGGCAGCGACAGCGTTGGGAGAGCGAGCATCGGAGGTGGTGCCGCTGTTGACAAGCAACGAGGGGCGTCGAGGACGGAGGGCGGCGCTGGAATGAGGCTCCAAGGCAGGGCTGTGTGTGCGTGTGCTTGGGCGTAGCTGTGGAACCGGTGGGTTTGAAAGGAGATGGCGCGAAGTGGTGGGTTGGAGGAGGCTCATGTCGTTGTCATCGGGAAGCTCAGAGCGACGTTTCTTGTTGGCGACGTTGAATCGAGAGCGCAAGGCTGAGGCTGGCGCGGCGGTCTGACATAGATTGGGCGATCCTTGGCGAGTCAAGGGAGGAAGATCGCGATGGTGCCGCCTGGCCGGGCAAGAGGGGCCTGCGACTGGGTCGAGGGGCGTTGTTGGCTGATCTGGAGAGCTGGTAGCCGTGTCCCTGAGCGAACGCTTGTGGGAAGAGGTGTCAGAGGACGATCGAGAGTGCAGCTCATCCGAGCCATCTTTGGCAGCTTGGATCCGGCGAGAGCGGCGGGCTGCCACGGGGACGTCGACACAAGGCAAGGAGGGGCTAGATGTGAAGCTTGCGAGACTAGGCTCGAATGCATGCTGCTCGGCCTTGCCTTTTTGCTTGCCCTTGGCCTGGTAATTTGGGTCTGTATCGACGCTGTGCTCGACGAGATGGGCGGTGTTGGCACGTTGGGTCGTGCTTGTGCCAGCCGAGGAGCTGCCCGAATGGAGGCAGTCGTGTGTGGGATCGAGAGCCCTTGCCTTGCCCTTATCGCAGTGCGGGCGGGAAGAGCAGCCTAGATCCATGGCGGACATTGCGAGTTAAAGGGAGGCCAGGTGGGCCGCAGTGATAGCGGGCTCGGATTGGTATTATCGGTTGATGGAGTGTTGATCGGAGGGTACATGCGAGTGGGGCTAAAGAGCGAGCCGTCCGATGAGGAGGAGGAGTGATAGGAGGAGGTGATGAGGAGGCTATGAATCGTCTCAAGCTAGGCTCTGTCGACTGTCGGCCGCTGCTGCGATGGGCAGCTCGAGGCGGCTGAGCCGGGCCGAGCATATGGCATTGATACGGGCGATCCGACGGGCGGCTTGCCAACCTAGACAAGACAAGCCAGGACGGGCCGAGAGCGCAGAGTTGGCGCACCTACGAGCCCACTTTGCGGCCAAAGCTCGAGCGCCGCGCCCTGCCAAGTGTGACGCTCCCAAAAAAAAGTTGGCGCGCATCGGCAGCCCACCGACAAGGGCCTCGCTCGCAAAGTTGCAGCGATACGAGAGAGGACCCTGACTGTCATACGCACGCCACCCTGGCCCCTCTGCAACGTCACATTTCCGACATCACACTTCCTACTTCACATCACCAAGCCATTCTCGCCCACCCACAATCACATTCACAATCACGTTCACGATCACATTCGCCATCGGTCTTGAGCTCTCAGCCATCGGCATATCCACAAAAGCGCCGGCCCACGAAAGCACCAACGTATGCACGCCCGCCTGCTCGCCTGCACGCCTGCAGCTCCCCGGCTCTGTTGCGAGTGCAAGCCTCCACATTATTTTAGCCTTTATCGTGCCACTTTTTTTTTGGCGCCATTTCGGATAACTTGACCTCGACTTTCCTGACACGGACGAGAAAGGCTTTGGCTTTTGGGTCGCGTCGTCGTTTGGCCGCCTCGGAAGTCGGACGCGATGGACGGTGAGGCGCATCTTTTTTGGTCGTGCAGATTCGCTCTTCCCATCATCCTCCTCCTCGTCCTCAACCTCTTCCGCATCCATCTCCTCGTCAACAGCAAAGCAATCCCCAGGGAGTGATTGCGCGAGCAGCAACGATATTGCCCGCCGAGCGTCTGGACATGCGCCCTGCACCGCTCCGAATTCATACCCCTTGACGTGCTTCGCCCCCACCGTGCGGCGACTGCACCATGTCGGACACCAAGTCCGCCCCTCCACCACAAAAGCCGGCGTCGGCGGCGGCGGCACCAGCGTCGCCCCCACCGCCCGAATCCGCAGTCCAACCGTTGATTGCCTTTTCCACAATCGACGCACCTTCCCAACGCTTCTACGCAGTCGGCACCGCCGTCCTCATCCAGGCATGGAAGTATTCTAGGATCTTCAGACACCTGCTATCCTCGTCCACATCCACGCTCACAGCCACATCGACCGCGCCGTCCCTCTCCACCGCCCTCTTGATCAACTTTGCACTCCTCTTCGTCCTCTCGCGCCTCGGCATCCCTCTCCTCGATCCGCGCCTCGCATCCGCAGCATCACAACCACCACCATCCAGCGCCAACCAAAAGCCCGTCCTTCAGCCGGCAAAGCTCGCAGGCCTCACATACATCCACTACCTCCTCATCTTTGTCGCGCTCTCCTTCACAGATGCTACGCTCATCGGCAGCGCATCCACAAATCCACTCGCTCTGGCGCTCAACGCCATCCTTGCTGTGCTCCAGATCGTCACCTCCACCCTCGGCCTCAACCTGCCCGTGGCCGGCCTTCTTCCGGACGCGCTCAGCCGCCAGATCTCCATCAACGAGGGCCACGTGCGCATCCGCGACCTCATCCAGCCAAAGAGCCACATCCTCGGTCAGCACACGATCCACATCCTCCCGCACAGCACCGCAAAATTGCTCCCATCCAGCGCCTGTTTTTGTGTCGGGCCATCCACTCCCCAGGTCACCGTGCCTGTCCTCTTCAGCAACGCACACCCCGACCTCCTCCAATACTCCATCACCGACTTTGCCTCGGGCCACTCCACTTACTTCAACGTCAGCGTAGACAGCCTCATCCCCTTTGGCTCCTCCAGCGACAACGCCGACTCCGCCCAGCTCGACGCCATCTCCGCCGCAGCATCCTCCCCATCCAATCGCCAAAACCGCGCCCAACGAGACTTGCTCGACGACGAAGATGCCCTCGACGACACCTCCTCCCTCTTCCGCGGCCTCTCCTACGCCGAGCGTGCAAAGATCCGCGCACAACGTCGCGCATCCTCGCTCGACACACCCAAATCCAAGCGCATCTCCTCGCCTTCATCCCGCAACCAACAGCAGCTGCTCTGGCATCTTCCCATCACCCAGCCCGGTCGCATCCGCCTCGAGCGCGTCCTCGACAAGTCGCGCAACGACGCCCGCATCTCGACCGCAGAGGCGCTCGTCGTACAATGCCCCTCCACCAAGCTCATCGCGCCCGCATCGTCAGCCCCCTCCGCCACCTCCGATCCCATTGCTCTACAGCACAAGTGCCCAGGCGATCGCGCTGATTTTGCCGCCCAGGTCACCGGTGTGGCGCCACTGGAGCTCGAGTATCGCCGCGTATTCGAGCCCGTCCTTCCCGCCGGCGCCTCGGGTCGTCAAAGAGACTCGTCGCGCAACGAGTACAAGCGCAAGATCTCGCGCATTTCACCGCCGCACCACACCTCGCCCCTCCTCCTTCCCGAGGCCGAGGCGCTGCTTTCCCCCACCGACCGTCTCGCTCTGGCGCGGGAGCGCACGCGTGCAGCCTCGCGTCGCAACGATGCCGGCGCCGAGGACTTTTCCTGGGCCGTCGCCGTCGACGTCGAAATGCCCCTCAGCACCATCGACCTCGACCTGCCCGGCAACTACACCTACGCGCTCGAGAGCGTCACCGACGCCTGTGGCAACCGCGTGTCCGTTCATTCAGAGCCTCACCATCCCCTCTCGCTTGCCCAAAAGGCACGCAAGAAGATCAAGGGCGCAGACGATTCCACCGCACTTTTGCACCAGTCCGTCGTCGTTCACCCTCGCCGCACCGTCGCTTTCGACCCGAGGCAGTGTCGTCCGGGCCATCCACTGCCCCTCCTGCGCAACTCCAAGGGTATCGAGCTCACCGTGCAAGCTTCCCTCGACCCAGAACAGGGCGCCGACTGGAACGTCAATGTCTCATTCCAGCCCGACAACAGCGGTGCCTCCAAGGGCATGTGGGCACGCAAGCCGGCAGATGCCTCCAACATGCAGTTGGCTATCCCGGGCCACAGCTCTCGCGTACCCTTCACCGTCGACAGCCCGGGCGTGTATCGCATCGATGACGTCAGCGGACCCTTCTGCGCGGGTGAAGTGGGTTCGCCCTGGACTTGCGAGGTGGTCGATGTGCCTCCTCCCACCGCACAGATCAACTTTAGCAGCATCGACGACCGTTGCGCCGGCCCCGTCGGCGTCAAGGCCATGTCGGTCCTCACGGGCACGCCGCCCTTCCAGCTCGAGTACGAAGTGACCAAGCAGGGCCGTCATCCCGAGCGCAAGGTCAGGACCATCTTTGACCAGACGCGCGACGAGCTCGACTTCCGCCCGGACGTCGACGGCGCCGTGACGTACAAGTTTGTCAAGCTGCACGACAGCAACTATCGCGGCATCCCGCTCGACGGGCCGTCGTTCACCCAGGTCTTCCATCCGCTCTCCAGCGCCGAATTCACCGCGCCCATCCGCATGCACGACGACCGCGCCGTCATGCAGAGCTGCAGCGGCAAACAGGCCGAAGCCGACGTGCGATTCAGCGGCGCAGGCCCGTGGGATCTCACCTACGCCGTCAGGGCGGGCGACCAGGTCGAGACCAAGCTGGTCAAGGCCATCTCGCAGTCGCCGCACAAGCTCAAGATCGACATTCCCACGTCCATGGCCGCCTCGGGTGGACTGGTCACCGTGAGCCTGGTCAAGATTCGCGACGCACGCGGCTGCGAAAAGACGCTCGCCACGCGCGATCTCAACGTCGAGGTGAGGCGCGTCCAGCCGAACATCGGCTTCCTCCCCGTCAAGACGGACACGGGACGTCACCAAGAGGTGCTGGCAGGCAAGGCGGCCAAGCTGCCCGTGCGTCTGAGCGGGCAAGGGCCCTGGCATGTCGACTACTCGTACAGGGCGGACGAGTCGGCCGACGAAGTCGACTTGACTGCCTCGATCCACGGCGTCGATGGCGAGCTGATGGCGGAGCGACCGGGCCTGTACACCATCAAGCGCGTCCGAGACAACTATTGCCCCGGTATCGTGCTTCAAGGTCAGGAAGACTTCCGCATCAGCGTCCGGCCGCAGCCGCACGTCCAGTTTGCGCCAGAGGCAGGCACGGGAGCACGCAATGGAAGCCTCATCCGGGCGCCCGTGTGTCGCGGACAGCCGGACTCGGTGGACATTGTCATGTCGGGTCACTTCCCCGTCGATGTCGAGTACGAGCACATTTCGCCCTCGTGGAACGCCGGCAGCGATGGCGAGGGCAATGTGCCACTGGCATCCGCCGCACACGAGGTGGCCATGCACGGCAAGCGACGCAAGACGGCCTTTACGTCGGCGCTGGGCACCACCAACCTCGAATTGTCGACGGCGCTGTCGGGCTGGCACACGTACGTGCTCAACACGATTGGCGATGCCGTGTATGCGCCGTCGCCGCTGCAGGGCTTCTCGACCGAGGCGCCGAGACGGTTGGAGCAGATGGTGCTGCCTCTGCCGAGCGCGTCGTTTGCCAGCACCAGCTCCAAGCACACCCGCCCGTCGCTGTGTGTGGGCGACGGATTGGACCGGCTGAGCCCGCTGCCCGTGCTCAAGCTGCACGGCCAGGCGCCGTTCACCGTGTCGTTCGAGGTGGTTTCTGCGCTCGGCTCGACTGGTGCAGCGGGTGTGGTTTCGCACCGCTTCACGCGCACGGGCATCCAGACGCACGACTACAAGCTCGACCTGGCCAAGGACGAGTTCTCGTTCAGCAGCAAAGGGCTGTGGTCTATTCGGGTCGTGCAGGTGACCGATGCGAACCACTGTCAGTCGGCCGTGAGCGACGGTAGCAAGCGCAGTGTCGAAGACAAGGCGATTTCGATCGAGGTTGCCGAGACGGCGGATATTGCGGCGGTGTCTTCGCGCGAGGACTACTGCGTCGGCGAGATGGTCGACTTTTCGCTGCAAGGTAGTCCGCCCTGGACGGTGGCGTACGACTTTAACGGCAAGGCGGCCACCGCTGCGGTGACCTCGTCCGAGTTTTCGCGCGTGGCGGACAAACCGGGCGTGTTGACGATCAAGAGTGTTGCGCATCAGCAGAACCAGTGTCGACGCGACATTGACGCGCGCGTGGCGCAGGAGATGGTCAAGACGATCCACGCGCTGCCGAGCGTACGCATCAGCGAGGGCAACCACTTTGTCGAGGATCTGCGCGAGGGCAACCAGGCGCAGATCATCTTTAGCTTCGAGGGCGTGCCGCCGTATTCGTTTACGTTCCAACGCACACAGCCCGTCGACACACACGCGCGGCCCAAGGTGTTGGAGACCAACACGGTGAGCGGCATCCTGGAGGATACGTACAGCATCTGGGCCGCCGTCGAGGGCACGTGGAGCGTCACCTGGCTCCAAGACCGTTGGTGCCAGGTCTCGATCGATTATCATAGTGGCGCCGCTACGCCGCTGGGCAAATCGAGACTCGCCATCAAGAATGAGCCGCACAACCCGTAGCTCGCATGAGATTCTCAAAAAGACAGTAATATCAAAGCATACGTCAACATGGAAGATGGTGTTTGCTGGGATTCGAGTGGTGAAGCTTGTTGGCCTTTGTCGAGAAGGCTTTTTGGTGGAGGAAAAAGTGCGTTTGTGGAGAGAAAGCGTGAATTTTGGTGACCGAGTTCCGAGGAAGGATGAAGCTTCTGGAGGGAGGTGTCACTTTTGGATTTGAACCCACTGCGCTTCTTTCACCATCATCACAGGCAACACTTTTGGCACGCGGGGAAGAGCTTCGTTGAGGATGCCGCCGAAACGACCGATCCGGAACGTGTTCGACGATGACGACGAAGAGCAGCATGGCCCGGGTGCGACGCCGCCCAAGAAGGCGCGCGCTGAGGCGAACCCTGCTCCAGCAACGGCGAACGGGGCCAATAGCATCCAGGCGCAGGTGGCGGCGGCAAAGGCCAGAGCTCAGGCACTGATGGCTGCCATGCAGAAGAAGGGATCACAGCCACAATCAGCACCAGTACCAGCACCAGCACCAGCACCAGCACCAGCAACAACACCAGCACAGGCCCCGGCACAAGCGGCGACACGGCCTGCATCTGGGAGCATCCAGGCGCAGCTCGAAGCGGCACGCGCCCGGGTGCAGGCACAAGTAGCCGCGCTCAACAGCAAGACCAAACCGCCCGCTGCATCCACCCCTACCTCACGTCCCGCCGAAGATCGAGCTCCAGGCCCCTCTTCTGCGTCTTCAAGCTCGACTGCAACTTCGTCTCGCGCACCGACGGGCATCCACCCGTTGCTCCTCTCCAGCGCGGTTCCGAAAGTCGACACGATTCGCGGGAAACCCGCCGTGCCTCCAGAGTCGAACCCGTACCTGCAGGCCAGTCGTGAAGCGGCGGACGAGGGCGGTTCGGGTCCCAAGGCGCGCTCGATGCGCCGCGGCTTCCACTTTCACAAACCGGGCCGCCACATCGAAGAAGCCGAGGAGCTGCGTCACGACGCACACGTCGCCGCACTTCAGCGCCGCCTCGAAGAAAGCGCGCGCCAACCGGACCACGAAGACAACCTGCGTCGCCCCGCTCCACCGGACATCGAATGGTGGGATGCCAACCTCCTCTCCACGGCGTCGTACGACTCCATCCCCGACCTTTCCCCCACCTCACTGCTTACCGCCGAGGATTCGCCCGTGTTGCTGGATGGTGCGTCGAGCGTGATCACGGCGTACGTGCAGCATCCGATCCCGATCCCTGCGCCCTCGGACTCGATCGAGGTGCGCCAGCGCGGGCTGATGCTCACCAAGACCGAAGCGCGCAAGCTGCGCCGGCAACGCCGCGCGGCCGCACAGCAAGACACACGCGACCGGATCAAGATGGGCCTGCTCCCGCCGGAGCCTCCGCGCGTGAAGCTGTCGAACCTCATGCGCGTGCTCACGTCGGACGCTGTTGCGGACCCGACAAAAGTCGAGGCGCGCGTGAGGCGCGAGATCGCCGCGCGCCAAGACGCACACGAGCGCCACAATGCCGAGCGCAAACTCACGCCGCAACAGCGCCTCGACAAGCTCGAGCGTCGCAAAGAGGCCGAGGAGAAGAAGGGGCTGTTGTGTCAGGTGTACCGCGTCAAACACCTCGTTTCGCCCGCACACAAGTTCAAGGTGCGCCGCAACGCGAATGACCACGCTCTGACGGGGGTTACAGTGCTTCATCCGGATATGGCGTTGGTGGTGGTGGAGGGGAGCGCAAAGGCGCTCAAGGCGTACAAGCGCTTGATGACGGTCAGGATGGATTGGACCGACCCTGGCGCTGCCAAACCCAAACCCGACACTGCCGACCCCGAGGCCGAGGAAAAGGTGGGTGCATGGACGCTGCTCACCACCTCCACCGAGGCGGTCGACTGGCCCACCAACACGTGCGAGCTTGTCTTTGAAGGCCCCATTCGCGACCGATCTTTTGCCGGTCGACCGTTCCGCGCCGTTTCGGCCACCACCGACGCCGACGCCCGCTCCGCACTTGGGGCAATGCAGGGCTACTGGGACGTTGCCAAACGCTCCACCACCGACGACTCGTCAACCTTGTGAACTTTTTTTCAATGGCATTGTCTATTGCGGCGGTTGCGGCGTTTGCGGGGTGTTGATCCTTCCGGCTCGTTCGTGGCTCGCGTCCTTGAGCATGTATGCCGGCATCCACTTTCCGCCCTGTTGGAGCTGCGGGTTCGGGCGCGTGTTGAATGTCGAGCCCAACGACGTATACCCCTGATCGTACAGCACACAGTAGGGCACACCTCTTTCGCCCGCCCCCGTCGTACCCCACTCTTCCTCCATCGTCTTCCTATCAAACGGCAGTTCCGATTCGGAGGTGGCTAGGTGTGGACACCGCAGGAACTCCCACACATCGCCGTACGTCCACTCGAGAATCGGATGGATCCTCTCCACTCTCGGCCAGTCCTTATCCGTCCAACTCCTCGCCTCCAACTGCGGGCCATGCGGATCGTCCCTCCTCGTGCCCACAAAGATCGCCCTTACATCCCTCTTTCCCTGCTCTTGCCTCGATCCTCCTCCGTTGAGATACGTCCTGATCCCCTCCTTCATCCCGCCATCCACCGCCACAATCTGCAAGTTATACCCGTGTACCGGATCAACGCAGAACTTGATGAAGCGGTCCACCTCGACGAACGGTGAGGGGCACGTGATGTACAGTGCAGCCATTGGTCGTGTGCCCTGCTCGGCATTGCGTCGACGCAGCACCGCAGCTAGGATGTGCACGAGCACGGTGCAGTCTTTCCCGCCGTTGAAGCTGAGTGCACAGTGGGCCTCGCCTACCTCGGCCAGGACTTGCTCGCACAACCCCACTGCGCTGGCCACCTTTCGTGCCAGAGCGGGGTAAAGCGCGCATGTAGTGGGGTGCTCAAAGAGCGTGTACACCGCATCGATGGACGCCAGCCACGCGGCGCGCGCCGTCGACGAGCCGTTCGATCCCATTGCGAAGCTTTGAGCCCGTTGTGTGGCGGTGGAGAGTGTGCGCACCGCGTGTGAGGGCAAGAGTAGACGCCGCGGTAGGATGGTGCGCGCGCCGACGACAAGCATAGATGGTGGTCAGTGCCTCGGCCGGATTTCTTGACGTAAGCCCCCAAACGCTTTCCGACCGCGGTCGCCATCCTTGTTCGGATTTCGGACGCCTCGGTCCTTTGTGGAGGCAATTTTTCTTGCGCCCCAAGCCGCGATCAGGGTCCACCCCTTCTCACCACCCTTGTGCTCAGCATGTCGGACCGCACTCGCAGCCTGACTCCCGCGGGCCGATCGAGTTTGGCGCCCTCCTCGCTGCCGGCACGCAAGATCCGCCTCCGAATCGTCACCCACTCCCCTCCGCTGCACTTTCTCGCGCCGTTCAACCCCGACGATCCGCACTGCTTCGAGGCGCTGCAGCACTTCGTCCATGCCCAGCTGGTCAGGCGCACACGGGACGATGACGAGAGGATCGAGCTGGAGAGTGTAGGGCAGGAGGGTGTGGGGTTCGAGATCGACGGCTTCGACGTGCCTTTTGACGACCCCGATATTGTGCGCGACGGCGACACGCTTACTGTGCGTCTCCAGTCCCAGCACAACAAGGAGGAGGA